AAAATGGAAACACGTCCTGTGCTCATGGATAGGAAGAATTAATATTGTCAAAATGGCCATCCTGCCAAAAGCAATCTAGATTCAATGCAATTCCTATCAAAATACCAACAGCATTCTTCAACAAACTAGAGAAAATCATTCTAAAATTCATATAGAACCACAAATGACCCCGAATAGCCAAAGCAATCCTGGATAGGAAGAATAAAGTTGGAGGGATTATGCTCCCCAACTTCAAGCTCTACTACAAAGCCACAGTAATCAAGACAATTTGGTACTAGCACAAGAACAGACCTATAGACCAATGGAACAGACTAGAGAGCCCTGATGTAAACCCAACCATATATGGTTAATTAATATATGACAAAGGAGCCATGGACATACAATGGGGAAATGACACCCTTTTCAACAGCTGGTGTTGGCAAAACCGGACAGCTACATGTAAGAGAGAATGAAACTGGATCATTGTCTAACCCCATACACAAAAGTAAATTCGAAATGGATCAAATACCTGCATATAAGTCATGAAACCATAACACTATTAGAAAAAAACATAGGCAAAAATCTCTCAGACATAAACATGAGCAACTTCTTCATGAACATATTTCCCCAGGCAAGGGAAACAAAAGCAAAAATGGACAAGTGGGACTACATCAAACTGAAAAGCTTCTGTACAGCAAAGGACACCACCAATAGAACAAAAAGGCACCCTACAGTATGGGAGAATATATTCATAAATAGACAGATCCAATAAAGGGTTGACATCCCAAATATATGAAGAGCTCACACACCTCAAGAAACAAAAAGCAAATAATCAAATTTAAAAATGGGCAGAGGAGCTGAACACAGTTATCCAAAGAAATTCAGATGGCCAACAGACACATGAAAAGATGCTCCACATCACTCATCATCAGAGAAATGCAAATTAAAACCACAAGGAGGTATTACCTCACACCAGTAAGGATGGCCAGCATCAAAAAGACTAAGAACAAATGCTGGCGAGGATGAGAAGGGGAACCCTCCTAAACTGCTGGTGGGTATGTAAGCTAGTTTCAACCATTGTGGAAAGCAATATGGAGGTTTCTCAAAAACTAAAAATAGAAATACCATTTAACCCGGGAATCCCACTCCTTGGAATATACCCAAAGAATACAACTTCTCAGATTCAAAGACATATGCACCCCTATGCAATAGCCAAGATATGGAAGCACCCTAAGTGTCCATCAGTAGATGGATAAATACGTGGTACATATACACAATGGAATACTATTCAACCATACGAAAGAAACAAATCCTACCATTTGCAACAACATGGATTGGGCTAGAGAATATTATCCTCAGTGAAATAAGCCAGGCAGACACCAAATGATTTTCCTCGTTTGTGGAGTATATAACAAAGCAAAACTGAAGGAAGAAAATAGCAGCAGGCTCAGAAACTCCAAGAAGGGACTAGTGGTTACCAAATGGGAGGGGTGTGGGAGGGAAGAAGGGGATTGAGGGTTATTATATTTAGTACACATGGTGTGGGGGATCACAAGGAAAACAGTGTAGTACAGAGAAGGCAAATAGTGAATCTGTGGCATCTTACTACGCTGATGAAAAGTGACTGCTTTGGGGTATGGGTGGGGACTTGATAATATGGGTAAATGTAACCACATTGTTTTTTCTTGTGAAACCTTCATAACAATGTATATCAATACCTTAAAATTTTTTTAAAAAAATCTGTCATTCTCTCACCCAAAAGATAACCTAAAACAAATCAATAAAGGAAATTAGATCTTCAAATTTACTGCTGCATTTTGTTTTTTTAACATTCTTTTTACTCATAGCACAGCAAAAAGCAGGGTCATCAGCATAGTAATCCCAGATGTCCAAATCCTCTCATTTCAGAGAAATGGAAAATCCTTCTCCCCAAAGTTGAACTCTAGGCTCCGTACTGGAGTCTTTTCTCTGCCTCCAAAATTTTTTGTAGTATCTTCTCTTGCCATGCAGTCTCTTCAGTGTATCCTCTTGGTCTCTCATGAGATAATCTTCCTACACTCACTCCTGAATCCTAGTGTCCTCAGAGGTGCAACCTCAGACTTTCTCACCTTATATATGGCTTCCTGGATAATCTTATTTATAATCCTTAACTTCAACTATTCCTTTATGCTGACAATTCCAATACATATTGCAGGCTGTTTTTGACACACAAACTCCTTTTGAGTTCCTGGATCTGATTCCAATGTGCGAGTGTTGGGGGGTGGTGTCTTCCCACATGACATGCAATTCTTAAACACAAGCAGTGTGTCTCAGCACCCAATTCCCCAGGTTAAGGGCTCCTTCCTGCAAAATTGCCCTTCACCCCAACTACTCTGGACGCCTGTGGCAAGCCCCAGGTTGTTCCCTGTGCTTCTGACCAATCAGTTACAAATTGGAAGTTCCAACGACCTCACCTTAGGTTTGATTTGCTAGAGCAGCTCACAAAACTCAGGAAAACACTTTTACCAGTTTAATAAAGAATATCATAAAGGATGTAAGTTAACAGTCAGATGAAGATACAGAGCAAGGTCCCAAACAAGGGAGCTTCCATCCTCATGGGGTCTGGCTCAGTAGTATGTGGAAGAATTCTGGTTCCCCAAAACTTGGTCTTTCTCCAACAGAGAAGCAGGGTACAAAAGAGAAAGAAATGTTTTTCTCGCAGGTTTTTCTAAGGGCTTCATTGAAGTCATGATTGACTAAATCGTTGCCCATTGGCTGATTCAATTTCCAAGACCCTGCCCTTGGGTGGGGTCCAAAAGCTCTAACATAACAAGACATCCATTTCATCTGTAAGACCATGAAGTGTTTTCAGACTGTGGATGAAAACCAAACCAACCTGGGCAATAGTATTTGGTCATCTAAATGACCGTTATTCTCCTGTAACTTACTGTATTTCAGAAACCCAGTAGTCTTCCCTGAACTCCATGTCACTAGTCATTTTTGGACTCTGTGGTATGTCACAAGATTCCCCTTCAGAACTGAGGCACTGACTCCCCCAGCTGTCATGCAAGATAGCAACTACACCTTCCTCTGGGAATTGTCCTCAGCTCATGGAGCTACCTCATGGAATTCATGACCACCCTTCCCCCAGCTCTACCAGAGACCGCCCATATCCAGTGGAACAAAAGGCTGAGCCCCTATCTCAATTTACGAGAACTATAAAGGGCCATCCCATGCATTGGTTGAGACTTGTCACAGTTCACTTTCCCCCATCCAATCCTGCTTCTTTTACCAAGTATTCCCAAGTGCACTCTAATAATCTGCACACAAATCATCCATGACAGTACTTAACGACCTACTACTGCTATATAGATCATTTTGTCTGTATGCCTCAGCATACACCTAGAACTAGTGAATGGCTGTGAAAAATAAATAAGGAAATTCATGGGATCCTCTTCTTGGGATGACCGCTTTAATCAATAGGGTGTCAGGTGATGATTCATGATTGTCTGACTACACTGAGACTTCTTAAACACCTTTAATTCTACCTAGTTCAGTGTCTCAGTACATTCCCCCTGGACTCCAGCAGCAGCTCCTTTACTAGTCTTCCAGCCTCCAACCTAGCACTGCTGTCAGTTTCCTAAGTTCAAACTCGTATCACACAAACAGGCTTAGTATCTTTTATCATACCTTTAGAAGTGTTCCATGTAAACCAAACTAAGTGTATCTTGGGTTTTCTTCCTTTGCTTTTACATTGCATGTTCCTCCACCTTCCTAGAAAGGCTTTTGGTTGTGAGACTAGCAAATATCAAGCTTCAAGATTCTAATTTTTTCCCCAATATTCTAATTTCCACCTTCTCAGAGGTACACACTCAAAAAAAAAAAAAAAGGCTCCTTTTGTGCTCCCTATTAATCATTCTCTAAGGGATTTTAGTTTACCCAGTACACCTCCAACTGTCAGGGAACATGTCTTACTGGACTTGAGACCTCTGTGGGAAGCCTGGCCTACATTTAAGTAACCCTGTAGTCTCCTACTTCACAAAGGAGACTGCTCCTAGAGAACTAGTGTTATGTGAAGCCTCAGAACTAGATGACAAACCAGACCTCAGGACTTATTCCAAATTTGGTGTCTTATCCAATTTATCTAAAATATTTATGACATTTTATTCAGATCTGGGTCTCACCCCTGATACAAACTATATACAGCTCTATAAAGCAAACTCCACAGGACCAGTGACTGCTGTGACTTTGTGTTCCTCCTTTGTGGCCATTTTAATCTCAAGCAAACTGTTCTCAATCTCAACGTTCTGCTTAGTAACGGCAAACTAATAAAATTACCATTTCCCGAAGTTCTGCAGTATCAGCAATGAGGCTCAAGTATCAAAATCTAGACACAACTGAATTACCTTTCAAACATATCTCATACACTTAACCTCAACAAATGATTAAGTTCATATGTAAGAACCTTTCAGGTAACAGCTTGTCAAATTTTAAAGAAAGCTACAAGAATGAAGAAGATAAGATTTTAGTCAATTTCATCTCCTCCTTCCATTTATAGATATTCTGATAATCTACCCAGATGACACTGGATTCAAAACCTGAGTTCATTTTAGCTTACAGAAACTGCTACCTGGGGTAGCCAGTGGTTATTTGGCAAGATGTAATTCCATCTATGCTCATTTGTGAAGTACACTGACTGACCTACAACCATCATCTGACCTGATGAAAGTTTTTATAATGTCTGAAACCCAGTAAAGGAGTGGTCAGTCACATTATTTTAGAATTAAAACCTACAGTGAGGCTGCTTTACAATAATGATGGGTAGTTCAGGTTATAAGACAGTGGTGGGCGATCAAATTCATTATTAAGAGGCTACAGTAGCTCTGCCAAAAAGCTTTCAGGACATTGTCTTGAATTGTATAAACTGTTCTACATCTATATTGTAGAACATCTTTTTTTAATGTCATCTAGAAACAAGCTCAAGACACACAAAGAAAATTCTATTAAATGAGTCCTACTTAAAAAGAAATAAAAGGACAATCTCATTTAAAAATGTCTTTATTAATGACATTTAGGTTGTTCATTCCTTTGTCCTCTTCCTTACTGGTTTTCTGAAGTTTGCCTGATCCTGCCAATTAAAGGAAACAATTACTCCAAAAGACTGAAGAATCAGTTATCAAGTTCTCAAACATTCATCAATTAGCACCAAGTAAATTTCCTTAACACCAAGTTTTAATCAAGGAATGTAGTATTAATAGTATTTTTAATGATCTGTATAACCAGTTACCCATATAACTAAGGCTTATATAAGATGAAGAAATTATTTCAATACCAGACTTTGTCACCTAGCTAGTTAAATTTTACTTCCATTTTCTGTAAGATGTTCTAGTAGTAGCCAGACTCTTTAAAGGCAAATCTGTAACATTCAAGACACTCCATTAACTGGCACCATCTCTCTATGTATATAAAGACATAGCCCTCATTTACATACCACCTCTATTTCTACCTAAAAGTATTCTTTTTGTTCAAATTTCAAACTGATTATGACAGCCCTTTAAACCTGAGTGACACCTAACTATATATGCAATTCATCAGGTGAGGGGATAGTAAGTAAACTTCTATGCATGGGCCAACTTTCTGCAAATCAAGTTTTACCAAAATAGCTATGTCAACCCAAATGTTCACACTGCCTGAGTGCTTTGCAGCTAGAACAGCAAAGTTGAACTGCCCTTCTAATAAGTATCACCTTTTATAGTTCTCCATCTATTTTCAAATACAGGTGACCCCACTATCTAACTATTGGATAAGAAACAGAGAATGTCTATTGTTTTGAATCCTTCTCTACATGGTCCTATGTACAAGTGAATACATGTACATTATTTTTATTGAAAATTGAGGCTTGAGCTAAACCAACAGACAAGCTGACAACCTCAGAAGGCTATTTGAATGATAGAAACAAGGAAGTTTCTACAAGAAAGTTTAAGTTTAATGTAGAAGGTAAAATGGTATTTACACACAAGTAGTTGTTTTTGATAACACCCAAGAGTCATTTTGAAGGCAATTTAAGGGTAAAAATCACTCCACTTACCTAGACACTCCTCAGTCTAACAGCTGCAGCTCTCCTTCTCGGTTGGCTCATCCTGTGTGATGTACTGAGAACAAGCATCTTATTCACCTATCATTAAAAAAGTACTTTTGTTACAATAACATACTTGGCAAAATAATGAACAGCAGCAGTAGACTTATACACTAAGAAGTGACTAGTGGTTACAATGGAGGAGGGTTGGGGTGGGTAGGTGGGGAGGGTGAGGGGGATTAAAGGGGCACCAAAATTCTCAATCATAATGGATATTGGTCACAGGGATGGTAGTACAGCATGGAGAACAGTCATTGGTTCTGTAACATCTTCTGTGTTGACAGATAGTGACCGCATTAGAGGGGGGGTGAGGATTTAATAATATGGGTAACAGCCAAACCACTGTGTTGTATATTTGAAACCGACATAAAATTGTCTATCAATGATAGTTCAATTTTAAAAAGCCAATAAAATAGTGTGATACTTGTTTTTAACCCAATTTCAAAAAAAAAAAGTGACAAGCTTGGCACAGTATACTAATACATTATTCTGACATCAACAAGAGGTACTTTTTGACACAGGTGTTATTGTTCCTTTTCCCACTATATTCCTGCTTAGTAAAGAAAGACCTGGTCAACATCAAGGTTATAGTCTCCTAAATTTTTTCACACATATTTATGGAATTTATCCTCCTACCAATGACTAGACACTTGTTCCTCTAGTATTTACTGGGTGAGTAAAAAAAGAATCTTAAGGAGATTTCAAAACTCAAAGTTGAATTTTGAGTTCTGAAAATATGCCAGTTCTTCAGTAACTCAATTTTTTTTTTTTATTCTTCTGATCATTTTCTTTACATAATCATCATGCATCTTTTTTTCAATTCTTCTACTGGTTGACATTTCTGTAATAAATATTCCCCATCTTCTGTCTTTCCCATTTAAATACTTAAACACATGCACACACCAATTTTCAAAAGCAATATAGGAGTATTGTTAGGATAAACTTCTTAAAAAGAACACACATTTCCCCCTACACAGCTAAAGCAAATTACTTAACCATTAAATAGAAATCAAACCCAGAGTCCTCTATGGAAACTTACCTGAAGTGAATGAGCACTCCAGTATCAGCCAACATCAATCATTCTTACCTAAAGAATAATAAGAAAAAGTTAACATAAAAGACAAGGGTATAAAGATTTGAAAATGCTAGTTAACTTCAAAATTTAAAGAGTAAAATTCCAGAGACAAAGATTGGGGGGCAAGTTACAGCATTTAAAAAAAAAAAAACAGGAAGAAATTTCATGGGGGGGGAAAATCTAAAATTATTCTTAACGTTAAGTAATAAAGTAGACACCTGAATAGAATCAAAACTGGATCTTCTTTAAAATACAAAAGCCTAACTGCTATTTTCACTAGTCTGAGCACAATGAAGTTTGACTGCAACCCAAAATATACTATCCCTTATGTGAAGGTATGTGACAACGTTTACCTTACCAAATGAGTTTTAACATCAGCTCTTTCCATATAAAAGCACATACCCTGCTCCCCATTCAAGTATGTCTTGTCTTCCCTTCTCAGGCGGCCTGACCACCTTCAGCAGGAGTCCTCCAAGAGTGCCCTCCCCATTCCACAGTACACAACAATGCAGTTGTTATCCTGCAATATCCTATACATTGCCCTCATTCTCTCCAAGTCCTCACTGGGTTTTAAGTCAGGGCAGGGAAGCTATGCCTCATCGGGACAGCAAGGAATCTGAGTTTTTCTGAGGGAGAATACATTCACATTCACTATATATATGCCTGGCAGGGCCACAGTGCACAAAAACAGAAAGATCAGCCTTAATTCAAGTTCCAGGTTTTTCCTCCTCCCTGATCAGTTACTACCAAGGGTATATGAAATAAGAGTTCCCTGTTGCACATGTACCTCCATAAGGGATACTATATCGTTTTGCATTCTCCCCCCATTCTCCAGATTATCCTGTTCTACATCCAGCCCTCTTTTCACCCTCCAAATAAGATCTTTGCATTTTCAGCACTGGTGTTCAAAAGAAACAATTTTATGATTGATGGTTTACCAACTGTGAGATTTCCACAGTTGAGTCTTAAATATTGCCAATCATTATCTAGCAGCAATGACAGATGATTAGGAGCAGCCAAATCCCGAGTTCTTGCCCTAATAATAATAGGCAGCCGTTTGAGAACTGCACTAGCTGACAGAGCACTGAAACATTATTAGCTAAAGCCAAAACCAAATAAAGGCCCAGAACAAACATCCCTGCTCTCTAAAAACCTGTCCAAAATCAGTGAGGGAAAGGTAGTAAATGCAGGACTGTGTATCATGTCACTGCAGCTGACAATGATTAACAATAGGAGACATGCAACCCCCATTGAAGTTAGAAGTCCAAAACTAGTCACACGCATTTCTTTATTGGGGAAAAGTGAGACTATTATGAATTCTTTGTAGGTTTTGCAACCTTATGTGAAGAGCACCCATTCCATTTCTTTCATCTTTCAGAAAGCACCGGTATCTGTTCCAAGGGCCTAACAGTACGAAAATGCATTCTGGCATCACATTTCTGAACTTCAGACCATATTCATGAAAAGAATTATTTTGGTTTGTAACGAGAAAAGACTATGAAATACAATGCGAGCACCTCAGTATAGTGTGATTACTGAAACCCATTTATTTCCAGCTTTTTGACTGATTTTAAGACCCTCTATACTAAGATTCAGAAATTATAACTACAAACAAAACTAAGTGAATCAACTTAAGTCACAGGTTTCTCATTTGAAAGTGCAAAAGCCTATTCATCTTGAAATAAGCAGAATGAAGCGAAATTTACCCCCCACTCCAATGATGTTCCTGAAGTCCATATATTGTAATACGTATATTCTCTCAAAATTGTTATTGACTGTTTAGAAATAAAAGCTCAGGTTTACTCCTTAACACTCAATCACTACATCACGGTGTCAAGTGTTGGCCACCGATTTAATGGATTATGCCACAGGAAAATCCTACCAACGTTGTATGCCAATTCAGTGACATTTTGTCACTAAAAGCTGACCATTGTTTGGTCTACTTTGTATTATTGACAGAGAGAGCTAGTCACCATTTGCTTTTATCTAGCAGGAAAGTCGAGTTATTTGCTTGAATGAACTACAGATCAAAGTACAAACTTGTCCCCACCTTGTGAATTGCCTGCTAAAGAGCTAGACATTTTTCTTGATACATTGGAAGAAAATTCTCATAGTCGTGAAGTTTTCACCAGCATTTATGCAAAGTAAACCAAATTTTTCCAGTTACAGAGCAGAAAGCGTTATACGTGAACGCCATTTCTCATGCACACTATAGCTAAAAACCAGTTCAGAGACCAAAGTTAAGTTGAATTGAGGTCTAGAAAAGTTGATGAAAAAAGCTTAAGTCCTTAACAAAAGAGGGTGCTTCTAAAGATTTTTTTGGTGATTGACCATTTTGGATTATAACATCACATCCCTAAAGCTAAGGGAACCAAATTCAAAAAGCTATGCTGAACATCTGCAGTTATCCTACAGAATACGACGGTCTTGATTGGGAAATGATTCCCAAGATGTATTCAACTGTAGGCTATCAATGTGCCACACCACTTTCCCCCAAGTTTAGAGTATAGACATATTTAGACAGGTCACATAACTTCAACTCTTCATGTTAGACTCCCATCTAATAAGCCCAGGTTTAGTAACAAAGGTGTTCCCATGGAGCCCACAGAAAAAATTTTTAAATCACATTACAAAAAAACTGTACTTTTGGTCTTAATTCACTCAATCTGCAAAATTATTACCAAGATTGCACTCTGAAATTATTGATATTGCTGACCAATGGGCAGGTCAGTTTGCCACAACAGAGACTATCACATACTATACAGTCCATGTTAAGATGCTAAAAGCACTCTACTTCCCAAGTATGGTTTGGTTCCCTCTCCCCCATACCACTGATGTCCCAGGTCATCTTCAGTTACAATGCAGCTCAAGAAAAACCACACAACTGAGTCAGATATACCAAAGAATCAAGTTTGCACTTTTTATCTGAGAACCGCAACAGCACTGATTTCTGCCTGAAAAATTACAGCTCTGAACCCAAACCCACACAGTTTTGATAAAAGCTAACTTTACCATACAAGTAGTTAGGTGCTGCACTGTGATTTCATTGTCAGAAGTGTGATGTCAGAATGCCCACGGAATAAAAGTACATAGCAAGTCACCAAGTTAGATTATATTGCTTGTTACCTACCTGTATGCAGTCGGCAATGAGAATCTTGGAGCAAGCAGGAATACTACATCCGGGTCCTAATGTCCATTGCCATTTGCGGTACTACGTTCCTCACAGTTACGCACTGCAGAAATGCTGGCTAAATGCAGTTATGTAGCAGGCCACTACTTTAATAGTGCATAATTGCAGTCCAAGAACACCAGAGAACATTCCACCACAACTTAGTGGCTTGCCCGAGAAAAGCCAAGTATCTAAATTTTTATCTGCCATAATATGCCACTTATAAAAATTGCACAGGCGTACATTACAATTTCCCCAATTATTATCTGTTTGTATTAGTGGTGAAATACATCTAATAAAGAGTGGTGGGATTTATATCTTAGGAGTTTAATTAGTGTCCTAAGCAGAGAGATTAATTATGGTTACACTAAAATGGGAGCCAATGGGTAAGCTTATACGACACGTATTTACACTGCGGTATCAGAGAATGCAGTTTTTAAAGACTACAAGTTTAAATCAATCACTGTTCCTCTTAAAATTACTAGAGAAAGTGGAGAAGAGGAAATGGGGACAGGTGGTTTCTATAAATGAGAAAAATGGCTAGACTACTTCGAAAGTACTACCTTCCCGTTCCCACCCCAAGTTTCCTACCAGCTTTTAGGAAACTATCTTTTAAGATGATTAAATTCACATTAGACTAAATAAAAACTATCATATACATTGCAAGACTTTCTGAAAGTCTATTTGAGTAGCTTACAACCCTTGGTACCCTACTATTTCAGTGATGAAAGTCAAAACTTCATTGAAACTAAGCATCATTATTTGCTAAACAATGTTTAGCAATTCTACAGCCCACAGTAAGGCTATCAAAACCACAACTTCCAGGAGATTATCCATTAGCATCCTTCACCACTCTTCAAAAGTATAGTACTACCAAAAGCTTATTTTAGGGGTCTGTGCCAGCATCCCTTATAAAGAAAGGCATGTAATCTGAAAAATAAACTGAAACATTAATTTTATAGGCAGATTTTCCCATTTCCCAACCAGCCCCCACCCACACACATTCCAGTTCACCCTCTATGGGTGTCCCAAGAACACCCCCTTATTTATTAGTGGAGTCCCTACCATACAATTCAACCAAACTGTAATGGACTCCTTTCAAATCAAGACCTTGTTTCCATACAGAAAATCTCAGACACATCACGAGGTGAGTAACTTGCCTTGGGACAGAACTTCCTCATTGGTAAAATTATGGTAGAACTACCCATTTCCAAGTGTCTCAGTTAACAGAATAATGAACATTTTCCAGTGAGATTCTCTCCCTTAAATCACACCTTGTACCTGTCACACAACCAGAATTGAGTGACATGCCTTTAAACCCCACTAGTGTTTTAACTTTACTATTATCCAGTTTTCTATGCAGAAAAAGTGCTTAAGTGTTTCAACAATAGGTTTCCCTTTGTACTCAGGCACAGTACTAAACTTCAGCATTTTAACAAAGATTTGATTTAGAATTTTACTTTTGCCAATTAGCATCAAGAACAGGTGAATAGGAAGACATTCCATAGTAAGAGTTCTATAACGTACAAATTTAAATGGAAACATAACGAAGAACAAACCCAAACCATTCAATTACTTTACCTACTGTTAGAAGTTTTTCCTTTACTAACATATACACACTGAAAAAGCAGGTTCCCATTGTACTAACAGCCAACAGTAACAATCTAATGTTAACTCAAAAATGTTTCTTACTCTAATGTAAGGAGATTCAATGAAGTTGACAAACTGACAACACCATCGAAACACTCCAAAGCTTTATGGTGGGAGGGATATTTGTACTGTGTAGCATGAGCAAACTCTCTCCATATTTAGTGCTACATCAAAGAAACCATGGAAAAACAAGTTAACAAATATTTTGTATTAAGAATGGTCATCTGTAACCCTGTTTGTTATTAATGGTCACCACTAGCTCTTAGAAAAGAGAACAGATTTTTATAGTCCTACAGACTTTGCCCAAGAGTAAGTAGCACAAGGAGATGTAGAAGTTACAGGGAACAAATGTACACCTAAGCCTACTTTATGGTCACTAAACTTCTTAAAGTTGAGTTTTTCAGACCAAACCCATCTTTTAACTTGCTTCAAGTAATACATGAAAAGACTTCATGTTTAACAATCTTTAATTCAAATGTGAAGTTCAATACAAGCCATTTGTAGGGCTTGGGACTTGTTCTTTTAAAAACAAGAATAGAGGAATGCAACAAAATCTTCCCACTTTTCTTCAGAAACCTTCAAGGAAAGGATAGATCATAGGGCCATAAAAGATCCATTTAGTCATACCCACTCTCTCCCGCTAACAGTCTTACACCCATTCCATGACCTTAATACACATTCCTGAATGAAGATTTACAGTTCAGCTTTGCTTTCATAACCATTTAAAATACTTAGCACCGGCTTGCTTCCTATAATGCCAAACAAATCAAATCATGAAACTACTTCAATATGCATTTCTTCGTTTTAAAACAAGGGGGTAGTTATTTATAGAAAGAAGTATTTAGCCTACAAGTACATTTCCCAGAAATGGCATATGCCATTGGAAGGCCTGACACTCTCATGCTTTCAAAATAGAATACCTAGCCTAATGTGCATAGAAGCATGAATGGCAAAGTTGAAGATCAATATTGTAACTATTTTTTCTATTTATTTGAAGCACAGTAAAAAAAAAATTGGTACACTTTGGAAATTCAGTGGCACAAGGTACACTGCCATAACTTGAGGGACATTATACAGTTAAAAAAAGAAAAAAAGGAAAAATAAATTCCTGTTTCAAACACTGCATTACATATTTTTACCTGCCCAAACAGACCATTTACAAATATTAGGTCAATAAACTGCTAACATCCATAAAAAGGTAGCTTTCTTACTAAAATGCAAGAATTTAAAAGATTGGTATCTAAACAAGAAAAGACAAAAAACAAACTGGAATGAAAGCCTAGGTATCACATCTAAAATCGGGGTTTTTTGTTTGGGCCTTCATACTCTTCTCTCCCTCTACCATATCCTGCTGGAGTTCCAGGCCCCATTCCTCTAGGACCCTGTCCACCCACAGGTCCCGCACCTCCCTGCCCAAAGCGCTCAGTACGCTATTGGAACAGTAATTAACAGTTCATTATTATGTAGTTGATGTCCATGTGTGTTAAGTAAATATTTTAGAAGGTTCCGTAGTCAACGTTCGTCGATACAATCACCAATGAGTCGATCCACAGGTACCGGGAACATAGAAAGGAAAAAAGGGTAATTTGAAAATTAGTTTACGATAATACATGCCTTGTGGTATGTTCCCACTTGAGCCATTCTCATACACCTGTTTCAAAGAATAGATCTTCCCTGTAGTGCTAAAAAATTTAAGAATTAGTGCAGATGTGAAAACCCATTCCAAAATGAGTTTTAAGAAATTTCACATCAGATTAACCCACTGAAAAGCTTGCAAACTTCTCACTTTCAAGGTGTGAACAGGAAATTTAATTTCCAAATAAGCCTCACAAGCCCAGACAGATTCAATTCACTCAATGGAGTGACAAAGACCTACTCACCAGTTAGTGGCATGTGCTGCATAAGAAACCTTGCGCTTTTCAAGATCTTAAGACACATCTGCTAAGTTGCAGAAACCTTAAAAGGTTCAAAGTTTTAATAAAATGCTACCAGACTACAAAAAGAAAAAGCATAAAAGACTAATAGATTTAATCACTTAACCACAAAGTCAACTTGATTAAAAAAAGAAGTGTTGCCATGTTCTCACAGGTATACCACCTTCAAAGCCATCACTATATAACCGAAGACAATTATGTTCACAGTGCTGTTCTGTATCGTTGCAAACTGACTAAACATACAGCCCACCCCTGTAACAGCCCAACTTTTCCGTTAGGTCTTTGAAAAGTCCACTGACACTTAGTTATGATTCCATGGTCTGGGTATTTCTCCCAAACAGCCTACCACCAAGATAAAGTGACTGCAATAAAGCAGGACTTCGTTATTCCGTTTAGTTTTAGGTACTAGTCTTAGAAACCTTACGTACCCAAACAGAAGAACCCTATAGATAGATATGCAAGCACAGCAGCCTGAACTATCTTTCAAATTCCATTTAAAATAGATCAGTTACTAAGAGTATTACTGAAAAGAAAAGAAAAGAAAAAAAAATAGACATCAGGGTTCAATTGTTCCTCCACGTAATTTCAACATGTTTCCTACAAAACAATAGGGCTACTTTCAATTTCAACCTTTTCAACTATTTTCAAAATTCTAAAAATTTTAGGGTAATTTTAGTACATTGTACACTTAAGTTATAGCTCAAAAAGCTAAAGAAGAAAATTTGGAGGGGTTTCACAATCATATTATTACAGTCTCTTAGAACCCAAGGCACTGTTATGTGGAATACAGAACCTTAACTGGGAGTATGTCAAATTAGATTTTACAAATTTGATACACACCTACAACCTACATTTTAAGCAGCATATGAACAAAATTGCGTTACCATTTTTAAAATTCAATTTGAAGAAAGCTAATAGTACTGCATTTAAGCCAACCAACTATTTACAGTTCTAATTCTCAAGAAGCCTTAGACAGATTTCAAATAGATGAGGCCCCATACTAAATCCTTATGTTCCTTATTTGCTAAATCAATCTAGGGAATGGCATGCTGCAGTTTCCCTTTGCCAAAAGCCTCTAGGTGAACTAATCAGACTCAATTCAGTTGTGAAAATGCACTGTCCTCTAAACCCACCTCTAAAGCCAATATTCAGTTCTCTAATGTTTCATAAAGCCCTAACAGCCACTCAGACCAATTCTCTCAGTTGTTCTAAAGCATCTTGATAGGCTAACTGTAGAGGTAAAATATGATTATCATAAAGAAGGTTCAGATCAAATGCACACAACTCGTATGCTTAGAATTATCAATGGTTTGTACTACCCTGTAGCAAAGTAGAAGTGTCAGTTTATTTTAGAAGGTGTACACCTTTATGGACAGGCCCAACAGGTGGGAAACGACGAGTCAAAACACTAAACAATTCCCTTTTCATGGGTAGAAGCCACGTCAAATATAGGTCAAAGTCCTATACATCACTAAAACATGCCTAAAGCTGCAAAATGCAAGTCTGATTCATACTTATGGCAAATACCGGCTTAATGAATGACATTTTGCCATTCAATTACTTTCACATGATGTAGAATAATCAGGTACATCATCTAACATCTAGAATTTGGATTTGCCATGCACTGGAGTGTAGAAGTACACAAGCAATATAAGGGAAAGCACCTGTCTACTTATTGCCAGGTAACTCCAACATACTAATAGCGTTGACTTCTTGTTGGCAACCTATCTGTTTAGGTTACCAACCCTGAGTTCTTCTATGTTGCCAAAGTATTCCTCAATATTATGATTTACATGATAGGGGAACTAAAAGAGGTCCAGATACCTACTTTAAGAAAAAAAACAGAAACACACACACGTAAGTTGTGGAAAATGAGAACTTCCTTTGTACTACGTCCCACAGGATACATTACCATGTCACTTCCCATCATGGAACCACTCATGGTTGCTGGTGGAACTCCAGGATTAGCTTCATAACCTATGCCACCACCACCACCACCTAGAGGTGGAAATTTCTGGCCTCCTGAACCATAGGGATCTAGGAAACAAAAATTCTCGTTACAATTTGACCAGTACTGCTCTCTAATGGTAATATTAATGTAATTTTCATGCTTACCTCCCATGTTCATCGCTCCTCCACCACCCATTCTCATGTCTCTCTCTCTCTGAAAGAAAAAAGTCCCCTTCATATACCTATGCCAATTATTCTTGATAGCTAAGAAATTTCTGTAATTTAAAATTGTTTAAGCTTTCAAAAAAAAGATTAAGGCAACTTTAAAAATCAGTATTCTGAAACCACTTAGACACTTCATTATCAAACTATTAAAGCTGCTCCCCAACCAATAAAGTCTTTTGGCCTGCTAGAAAAGATAAAACTCAAGGTACATCTAACGTACTTGTTTAAAAAAAAAAAATAAAAAAAAAAAAGCTATCATGTGAAATGTTGTATTTAACTGAATAAAATTTAATTTTAGGTACCTACAAGTTTTGTAGACCAATTAGACTGAAACAGAAGTTTACTTACTGGATCCATATAGCCCATTCGGCTGTAGCTTTCCTCTCTTTGGCGTCTCATTTGTTCTTCCATCTCACGCTGTCGAATCATCATCTCTTCTTCCCTTCTACGTCGCTCCTCCTCTTGCCTGGAAATATCCAACATGTTAACCAAAGTGTTATCCACATCTTTTAAAATTAATCTGAAGGAAGCTAGTAGTTTTGCCCAAGAGCTTAGCTTTACAAAGTCTATGTCAGAGTAAACACAAAGGCCTTAAGAGTGAGTCTGGGAGTATAACCTATAACCCTCCAGGCAGTCTGACAAAGAAAACATCACTAATGAAAATCTTATGGTCTATTCCAATTTAAGTGTTATGACAACACTGACATAGTACACTTGTTCTCTAAATATAAATATAAATGCAGAACAAAAGGGTGAGTTTAACAAAATTTTACCTCAATTGCATTTCTTTACGTTTCTGCATTTCTTGATTATGAAGTTCTTCCATGCGTCTTAATTCTTCTTGGCGTCTCATCAGATCTGAACATTGGAAAATTTTGTTTTGGATTCACATTAATGAGGGTTTACTAAGTTCAAAAAGCTATTGATCCCATCAGCAAAATCACACAACAGGCCTTTTACCTTGACGCAGAAGGTTTGCCTGATGTTCATGATAGGCATCTTCCATTTCACTTTCCAATTTGTCTTTTGCATCTTTCATGTTTTTTTCAACTTGTTCCCTTTGCTGTTTTTCCATTTCATCCAGGGACTTCCATCGCTGAGAATATTCATACTCAAATGTGCCATGCTGGGCAAAACGAGGAGGAGTTTCTCTCTCCCTGACAATGTTTAAACATGAACCTATTTATGGATGCACACAATAAATACTATCTGATCCCCCAAAAACACTAGTCTTTTCCTTAGCTTATCACACTTGTAAAGTATACCAAAGGCAACCACCACTGTGGTTCATAAAAAATCTCTTCACAGCCAAGAAAAAACAACCCATGTCCCAGAATGATATACAGTAACAGAAAACATTATTGGTCAATGAAGAGAAATCCTACCTTCCTCATTTCCTAATTGTTTCTTCTAACTAAATTCCTATCCAAGGATTATTTTCCCCAACCTTAAAAACGAGGATGCCTACACACTGTGTAAACTTTAAGGATGAAACAAAATCGCATTGGAAGGTACCTGCCCAACCTCAGGAACAAACAATGGGTATTTCAATCACCCATCAAAAGCTCTACTTTCTGAGCCTAAGGTTTTTAAAACAAATATTTTTGAGACTTTTGCCATCTGGACAAATTGAAAAATTACTAGATCAGGTTCTCATGTACACTTAAAATTTAAAAACTGCCCACCAAAATTTAATCCATCTTACTTTTGATACATTGGATTCTTCTGTGCAAGTTTTTCAGGAAGACCATCTTCATCATCCAATTGTTCAAGTGGTTCCACAATGACTGGACGAGGAGTTCTAATATAAAAAACAGTTCTAACTTAACTTTGCTCCAGTTTTATTGCAACTTCCTCATATAGGTTAACAAATTGAAATTATTAGAATAAAATAAGCACAAGAACTTACGTTGTCAGTAAGAAAACGCCTTCACTGCATCTTTCAAATGCTTTTCTTGCTGCTGGTTTAGAAGCAAATTCAACTATGCCTTTCCCTGTAGATCTTCCACGGTCATCCACAATTACAACAGCCCTTTCAATAGGACCGAACTGGCTAAAGGCTTCTTCCAACAGTTCATTGGAAACATAAGGTGAAAGATTGCGAACGGAAAGAGCAGCAGCATGTGTGGCAAAGCGAACCCGAAGCTGCCTACCTCTCATGGGCGTATCATCAAGTTCAGCTTTGGCAATTTCAGCCAGTGCTCTAGATTCCTGAAAACATCAGACACACTCATGTCAATACTTCAAAATTGGCTAATGCACATTCGGAAACTGATACGCCTAATTCCTATTCCTCCTCCAGCTAAGTTCAAGTATCAAAGCAGCCCTCCCTGACACTATTCAGGGTAGGTTGTTAAATGCCTAAAACCAAACTCCCCTGGGTTTCTTAGATACCAACAATTATGCACTATACAGGAGTTCCAACTTTTCTGTAAGAAAGATGAAAATTTTAAAGACAATTTATTCTTGTTCATTTAAAAATCCGTATTTTTGTAACAGAAAAAAAAAACCTTTAAATTTTACATAAATTCAAACTTACAAGCTTAATAAATCCGAATCCTTTGCCTTTGTTGATAAAAACTTCTCCTGGTTCTCCATATTTAGCAAATAGTCTTTTGAATTCATCCTCTGTGATATCAGCAGGTAGATTCCCAACAAACAACCGACAACGCTGTGTGTAAGTTTTCTCTCCAGGCCTCCTCAACAGTGACAAGTTGGCTTTAAATCCCTAATGAAAAAGGAAGGGAATTTTGACACCAATGGCCTCTGCACGTAAAAAAATCCAGTAATTTGCATTTTCCCAAACTTCTTGTTATGAACCGGGTTGTTCTTTTGTTCCGTTTAAAGTCAAACTCAAGTTTCTACTGTAATTTTCAACGTAATCACTATCCTAACCTCAAACAGCCCAAATCAACTACATCAGCAGCAACCTCTTCAGCTGTACCTACTGACTGTCCCTGACAAATCCGGACCGTAGCAGAAAAAAAGCTAAAACGGTGACCAAGTATTACATGATGAAAATCCTGGTGTCACCGACGCGACCTTCGCCTGCGCTCTTAAGAGCGTAGTAACTCCCCTCGGTCTTTCCAACCCTACATTTCACGCTCTACTCTTCCCCAACCTCTAGAATCCGAAGGTCCACCGCAGCTTCTCATCGCCTTCTTGCTCCCGACACCCTCTCTGGGCCCTCTCCGGCCGGAAAGCCAACTCCGAGATCCAACGCGGCCCGCGGCGCTGCGGCGGCCCCGCCTCCGCCGCCCGCGCGCAGGCGCCCTTTCCGGTCTCCGACAAAATGGAGGCCCGGGAAGAGGAAGGGAAAGAGTGGAACGCCGCCATCTTAGGGAAGCCGCCGCGTAGTTCCAAGGGACACTCACCTCCGAATCGGATATCTTCTCCTCGCTGCGGCCGCCGGGGCAACCGGGCAGGGGCCCCTGGTGATGCTGCTGGTGGTAGGGTGGGTGGTGTTGCCGGCCTCCGCGGGGCTCCCCGCCGCCTCGGTGCGGCGGCTTGGGGTGGCCGCCAGGGGTGCTCAGGCCCGGGCCACCGCCGGGCTTCGGCCCACCGGGCATTTTGCCGCCTTTGGGGCCGCCGGGTCCTGGGCCCTGTTTAGGCCCCGGCCCCGGGCCCCCTGCAGGTGGAGGCGGCGGGCCCCCGGCCTGCGGCGGGGTAGTGGGCACCCCGCTGCTCGGCGGCGGGGGCGGGGGCGGGCCGGGGGGCGCCGAGGTGACAGCAGGCGGCGGGGTCGGGGTGGGGCCCGGCCCCGTCGCGACCCCAGAGGTCGGGGGTGCGGCAGGTGGCGCCGAGCCTGAGGCCGGCGGCGCGCTGCCTACTCCGGGAGCCGGTCCTGGTCCCTGAGGAACAACGGGCTTGGACGAGTCCTGTGGCGGCGGCGGCGGCTGCTGATGGGGCTGCTGATGCGGCGGCGACTGAAGCGGTGGCGGCTGCTGCGGCGGTGGCTGCTGCGGCGGCGGCTGCTGCTGCTGTTGGTGTGGTGGTGGTGGCGGGATCGGTGGCTTCGGGACACCCTGGCCCGGTCCGGGCCCCATGGGTCCGCGGTTCTGATTGAGGCCCATGCCCGGCGGCGGCGAGCGGAAGTCGTGGAGACCGCCTCGGCCGCCGCCGCCTCCGCGCCGGTGGAAGCCGCCGCCGCCACCGCCACGGCTCCTGAACCGATCCCGAGACATGTCTGTGATCAAGGGGCGGGAGAGGCAGAAGCGGAGAAGACGCTCAGGGAACGTGGAGGCCACCTTGCTTCGCACAAGATGGCGGATGACACAGGCCGCGCACCGCCTTTGTCCTCTTCTTATATAGGCCAGCGGGCGTGGCCCCGCCTCTTCTCGATGGGCAGCTCCAATAGCCAATTATAAGTGCGGTGCTTGATGACACTAAGTTACGAAGCGCTAGTCTTTGCTATTGGCTCCCTAATGAGAGGCAGGAGGCTTGGAGGGCCTGAAGTTCCAGTTCGCCAATGAACTGAAAAGGAGCTGGCTGTAGGCCGTTGTGATTTGCTGGGACCAATTTGAATGGGCTCGCCAGGGCATTTTTCCTGTGAAAGCAAAGAGCCAGGGCCCTATCAGCTCCTGGGGAGAGAAGTTAAAGGGCTCTTTCTTGATTGCACCTACGAGCAGCCTGCTGGTATCCTGGCCCAGAAAATAACAGATGTTCTTCCTGTTCAAAGCATTAAGTGCCCACTATCTATCTACTTTGTGCTGGGCTATTAAAATTAGAGAAATAAATCTTAACCTATTACACACAATCTTAGTGCTTTTATTTTGGAGCCTCATAGGTTTATTCTAGCGGTATGAATTTAGCAATAGGCTTAAGTTAGTGCACTCTTTATTTTTACAAAAAAGGGCCTTGATTGTATGTTTGTGTGTGTGAATTGACTAATCTACAAACACAAATCACAAGAGGAATATCACATCTTTCTTAATTCCACTATCACCCACAACTATGAATAGATTAAGATCTTTAAAATTACAATATTAACATACCTATATGGAATCAACCAAGGGGCAGCATGCTTGTAGTTCAAATTCTCCAACTTCTCTGAAGTACACCTACCACATCCCTTAATACCCCTCCAAGTTACCTCATCTATGGGCCTTTTGTTGGATCATTCCTCTCTCAATATTGACTCATGGCTCATTGTCTTCCTTTCCACCTCTCCTGTTCATCATTCAACATCTATGTGTATAATCACCCAATACTCTCAATTCTTTACCTTTTTACCTCACCTCACAATCTTTTCTTTCTTTCCTTTCCTTTCATCCTATATGAGCCATCCCACCTCATCATGATCATCCCTGTGTTAGTTTTTACCAGTAACTACGCCATCTCTGAAATCTCTATTTCAAGAATCCTAACTGTTGTATCATAGTATGAGACTAAGAAACTGAGGTAGTTTTGGAGGCTTTCATAATAAACACACTCTCTCACACACACAATCTTGTATATTCATAACTTGTGTCACCCAGTTTAAATGTCATGATTGCCTGCAAACACAACCTCTTTTTTTTCTCTTTCTCCTAAAACCGCAATTCTAGTTGGATCCAACAATTCACCTTCTTTAGCAAGAGTTGAGGCCTTCACTTTAATTAATTAATTTATTTATTTAATTGAAGTACAGTAGTTGACGCACAATATTGTATTAGTTTTAGGTGTACAACATAGTGATTTGACAAGTATATTCGGCAAAATGCTCACCATGATAAATGTAGTGACCAGCTGTCACCATACAAAGTTATTACAAAATTATTAACTATATTCTCTATGTTGTACTTTTCATCCCCATGATTTGTTTTATACTCGGAAATTTGTACCTCTTAATCCCTTTCATCTATTTCACCCATCCTTCTACCCTTCACCCCTCAGGCAGACACCATTTTATTCTCTGTATTTATGAATCTATTTCTGTTCGTTTTCTTTCTTAGATCTCACATATAAGTGAAATCGTATGGTATTTATCTTTTCACTTTAAATTCTTAACCACAAGCCTTAAAATGGCATTAGACTTTTCCTTGAAATCTTACTAAATTTCCCTAGTAAATTCACTTTCCACTTGCAGAGGTAGTGTATTTCATGCTTTCTCCATTCAACTCCTGTACCTTCTCTCACTCCACCATAACTAATTACTTCTCTTATTTCTTTGAGGAAATAAAAATCATTGGAGAGGAACATTCTCATCCAACTGGAAAGCCACAAGCCTATTGCATTGGTACCCATTTTCTCTGTTTTCTTTCCTGAAACCATGAAAGATGTGTCTTTACTCCTGTCAAGGGGCAAACTCCCACTAGTGCTATGGATCCCACTCCTCATGCCTTAAGAATTTTCCCTTGCTGTATCATCAACTATTTCTAATGGATCATTACTATATTAAAAATAAAATCTTCCCCTTATCCTATTTCATTTCTTTACTCCTCTTTATGACAAAACTACAAGTTGCCTACACTAAGAGTCTCCACTTCCTCACCTTAATTTCCTCTTCAAAACACCCCAATTTGTCCACCCTTCTCTTAAACTTGCCAAGAATACCAATGATCCATGTGTTGCCAAATCAATAAACACCTCTCTACACTCATCTCTTTTTATCTGTTGGCAACATTCAACACAGACGGTATCGCATCCTTCATGAAACACTTCTCGTCAGCCCCTGTGATGTCACATTCTTAAGATTTTCATGCTGTCTCAGTGAACTGTCTCTCTGCTGACTCCTCCCTCCTAAGGGCCTCTGACTGCTGAGATATTTCTAGGCTCATTTCTGAGCCCTCTTTAATAAACTCTCTCCTTACCTAAATCTCTTCAAGACTTCAAACACCATCTAAATGTTAATAATCTTCAAGTGTGTATTTCCCATGGTGGAGTAGATCTCTGAGTACCCAACTCATATATCTAATTATCAGGTATCTTCACTTGGAAGTTTAGCTGGCATGTAAGATTTAATATGTCCAAACTGAAGCTCTTGATTTTATCAACCTAACTTGTTCCTTCCCCCAATTTTCCCCAGCATAGTAAATACTACTACCTAGTTTATAAAAAATAAGGATTTATCCTCTTCAAAGATCCAAAAATCAGTTCTACCTCCAAATCCATTTACTTCTCTCCATTTCTACCACTAAAACTTACTGTTTCACCTCCATCTCTTACTTAAATTACTGCAACCACTTTTTAACTTGCCCCTTGACTCTCTTCTAGGCCCTCTCTAATCCATTTTGCACATGGTAACTAGAGCAGTATTATAAGAAAAAATAATTCAGATATCATTTTCCTTCCCTATTTAAAGATCTTCAGTAGCTCCCCATTGCTCTTAGAATAAAATCCAAACACCTTGCCAAGATTTACAAGGCCTGACTTGATCTGACCCCTCTCTGCTTCCCCTATCTTATATCTTTAGTTCCCTGACCCCATTCATAAGAAACCCCTATCTGTTCTTAGAATTTATCAAATTTGTTGCATGCCTTTTGCCTCAGGGTGTTTAGACCTGCTGTTTACTCAGCCTGAAGTGCTCTTCAACTTTCTGCAGAGTTGTATCTCAGCTTGAATATCACCTCAGAAAAGCCTTCCCTGCCACTGACTGCATTTAAAGTAAGCCTCTCCTCTTGTAATATATGTGATAGCTTTCTTCACAATTTGTATTCATCTTGTTTATCTTCTGTCTCTGTTAGACTTGGATTCTGTTTGAGTTCTTTAAGACCACCACTGGTACCTAACACAGACACTGGCCGAGATGCTTAATAAGCATGTGTTGAATGAATGAATGAAAGCATAATGGCTTGGGTTCCATATCCAGAGCCTTGTCTCAGTATCCTTCACTTTTCTGATATACACTCCTTAGGGAAGTTGTGAAGATTGTTATGAAGTGTTTAGTACTTTCTAAGTGCTCCATAAGTACTAGCTATTGTTATGAAAAAAAATCAGAGGCTTTTAAAAGTGCTTGAGTGTTATTGCCCAGAAGACAAACGGAGTTCAGTAATAAAAATCTTGTTAGTGTACTTTTGAAGAGGCAAGGAAGTTTCTAATGCATTTTATAAGAAAGCCTATCCTTGAATTGAGCAGATTAAAAGAATGATCCACCATAACTAAATGAGGGCTTTTCTTAAAACACTGGGATGTCTTAATATTGGGAAAGTTATTAAGATAGTAAAAGAAAAGTATTAAACGAATATATCCTATCAACAAATCAAATAAGAAAAAGCATGTGGATGCTGAAAAGGCATATGATAAAATTCAAAACCAGTGAATTTTAAGTCACACTGCCTTAGTTCTTTTAATTTGTCAGGCTATTGTCTGAAATAATCTCTCTCTGGTCAACCTCTTCCCACTTTTTGGCTAGCTCCCATCCATCTTTCAGGACTTGACTTACACCAGCCCATCTCTGAAGGCTTCTTTGACCTCCAAAGACCAAGTTGCTGCATTTGATTAGCACTCCTTGCTTTCCCTCTCCTACAGCCCATCCCACCTTAGTGTAGACTTTCTAAATCGTACCCTCTAGACTGTAAGATCATCAGGACAATGGCTGAGATTCTCTTTTTGTTGTTGTTGTTACATAAATTAACCCATTTATTATTATCTAGCAATACTTCAAATAGTGGCGCCACTACTGGTCTTTTAATTCCTTCAGTCTTCTGATGGCCAGATGCCACCACTACTGTTTTCATACAAGAACCACAGGGCTAGATCCCCACAACTCAACTCTTCATCTTGGTTTTGTCAGGAAAGGAGAAATTGTACTTGGCATGCTGGCTTATTTCAGTTTTTCTTTACCATTTTCCTGAGGGAGGCACCCTAATGGGCCCCATATTTACCGATGATTCCGACCCTCTTAGTGCATTTCACCATGTCGCCACCAACTAGGTGCAAGCCAAGAGAGGTGAGATTCTCTTTTAACCATCAAATCCTTAGAGCCTGGTGCTGGAATACTCAGTGTAAATCTGAATGAATGAATGAAACCATTAATCTTTCCTTTTCTAAGCCATTGAAGAATGGCCCTAGTCATAAGTGACTAATTTCAGATATTAAATATAACTCTGTGGTTCAAGTATGTGGAAATTACGCTGGATGGGATGTAATACAATCATTACCATGTTATACTCTGAATGTGGTGAACTTACAATTCAAAACCGTAATTAGAATAAATAAAAAGCGTAATTATCCTCTGGTTTGACTTGTTATGAGGCCTAAAAGGATAAGGGGGATGGAGATAATAGGTTTGATGGAAGACATTGCTACTCCCTAATGAATATTAATGCAATCAACTAAATTTACACCTTCAACTGTATCCTAGGGCCTGAGAAACTATGTTGA